GCACAGCGCGGCGCCCCGGGGGGAGCCTGCCGGGGGGCGGGGCTGGGGGCAGCGGGACACGGTCCGGCAGCACAGCGGGGACGTGGCCCCGTGCCCACCCGCCTCTTCTCCCCTTAGGGCTGCAGGAGGGGGCTCCCTCCGCCCCGCCATTAGCAGCCGTCCGACCTGCCCTGCGCAGACCGGCTCCCAAAGAGCATCGCGGCGAAACCCAACCGGCTCGCCCGGCCCACTGCCATATCGTTTACAGCTCGGATCATCCACGGGTTTAAACCAGCAAAAGCCCTCGGGGGATTTCAGGTCTTCTGCCACCTCCAACGCAGCAGCTCCCCAACACTCCCCTCTGCCAGCCTTTTCGGCAGGTGCCTTCCCCCAGTTTCTCTTTCCAGTGCCACCAAGTCTCTGGCAGAGGATGCCCTGAGTCCTGGGGATAACCCCCACAACCCGCTGCACACCCCAAAGCTTGGCAGGATCCCCTTGAGGACACAGGTCTGCGTGTTTTATTTAAAACTCGTGTCCTAAAATCCCTGGGATGTGGCCTTTCAACTCCTCCCAAAGCCCTTTCCCACCAGACTGAAATCTGCAGAGATTTCACAACAGCGCTGGGGATGAGCAAACCTTTCCGCTTCGAGGAACCACGTCCCACACCTTCATCCAGTACAGAGGGCAAAAACGGACTCGTGGGTCTGATTACACCAAAACCTCCCCACGAGAGAAATTGGGGAAGGAATAGTAATAATAATAACCGTCATCATCATCATCATCATCTCTGGTCAAGGTGATTTTCTTTTAAGCTTTCGAGAAAACAGCACCTGCCCCCAAAGTAAAAGTCCACCCTGTTCTTGCCGGTCCCGTGGATGTGGTTACATCCAGACCTGCAAGAAACCTCTGCCAAAAAGGACTTTCTCAGTGCATGCAAACCAGCCCGGCGATTGCAATCCAGCACCACCACTATTAAATCGTGCCTCAAATCGTCTCCGTCGCAACGTGGCCGAGTCCCGATAGCGGGCGGCTGCCAACG